AGATCTTGGCGTTTGAAATGAAATAAGTATAATAATTCCGAGGAACATACAACAACATCATTGTGGTTTAGGTTGTTAAGACGCGCACGACTTAGCCCAAGGGCTTGGGTTCAAACCCCTGTGCTGAATCTTTTTTTCTTATAAAATTAACTCGATTTTCAACCCTTTTGATATATCGTATCGAATTGCCCTAAGAAAAAAAACAAAATTCTTACTGAACAAATTATTTATTTAGGTTAAGGAGACTTTTGTTTTGGTGTGATCACATTCTTTTCTTCCCTGTTGCATGTTCCTGCCATTTGCTCCTTTTTAAGCAATGAGAGGTATGGTATGGCAAACGCTCTTTTCTGAGGCCGGTTAGAACTATATTCTCTCCGACATGCATCGACATGCGCATGTGAACCAGCATGTGGCCACACCACCGCCACACCGAAAACGATATATCATCCGTGTGAACTCAAGTCGATGTGGTGTACTGTGCGACAATATGATTAGTTTCGGAAAGGACGACGAGCTAGCTGGAGATTTCGGAGCCGTGCCACATGGGCCAGTCCTTCATATCAAATATATCTAGACCGTCCTGATAATATCCCCATTCCACGCATAATCTCCTTATTATCGCATGCACTGTGTAATATGTACGGAGTACTGGTGATCTTTTTAACACGGAAAGAAAGAAAAAAAATATGGTTACAGGTTTACAGCAATGGGTAAAGTAATCATGCCGGACAGTGTAAACAATTTGTTATTATACTTGCACTTAGTAGTTTTTATCTGCCCACGACAGTGTAAACAATTTGGTGGTCTCGAGGTTGGTGGACTAGTGTTAACAGTAAGCGACCAGTCATAAAAACCTGTTTGTTCGGTTTCTTTTTTTTCAAACGAAACAGTGTTTTTTTTTCGCAACCATTCAACCAAATTCAGCGCAGCGAACGGGCCCACGTCTACTGCGTGCTGTTGGGTGTTGGGTTGTTGCGTTGCGGCGGCTCTCCGTGACTCCGTACGTCTAACCATCCGGTTCGGCCGCTTCCCACCACTTCCGGCCGGCCGGTGGCCTCCCCGTTCCATTCCAGTCAGACTCACCCAGCACTCATCTATCAGCTGCTCCTTGGAATCGCTGTAAAATAAAAGAATCACTCTGAAAATATATGGTGTCGTCTCCATTCAGCTTTCACCCTCCGTGTTAAAAACACGCCCGCCTTGTTTTTTCACCGCGGCCAGCAGCCCACGGGTGTCGGGACGGCCGCGTATTATTGCAACGGCCAACGGCCGGCCAGCCAACCAACCGGCGTTGCGTTGCAGCGCTGCATGCGGTCACCACACTAGCCTTGTCCGTGTCGCGCGAGTAGTCGTGCCATCCAGTCCTCCACACAAGCGCATGCTCGCCTCGGCATGTGGCCCGTGCCGCTGGGCGCTGGGCGCTGGGCGCTGGGCGCTGCACACGAGAGAGAGGAGGCGAGAGTGTGGCTGGAGTGGTGGGTGGAGCAGAGGCAGGAATTGACAACACGGGGCGGGGGCGTCGGTTTTGACTCTAGGGGCTTGTCCGCTCCTCACCGCCGCGCCGCCCGGGGAGGCAAGGCACCTGCAGCTCTGCTCACTGCGCCCATCCTATGATTTATTCCCTCTCCCGTCTGGTCCTACCGCCTCACAGTCACAGACACGCACTGTGCTTTTGTCACGGGATGGATGCGTGAATCAACGAATGTTCTATCGTCTCCAATTTTCCATTCTTCTTCCACACAAAAGATCAATATAAAAAAAAACAAGTGTCCATGTTGCTGAGGCTAGCACGCCTTAGTATAAGGTACGGAGCAACGCGGATCTATTTTGTTTAGGGGCTCATCTACGGCGACGCCGCGGTTGAGGCGCAAAAAATGGCCGCCACAGTTTGCGACGTGAATCTTGACTTTTTGAACTGCTGATGCTTGCGGTAGCCTTTGTTGAGTCGTGAACCAAACAACTACCTAACTTTATGTGGCCGCCACAAAGTGTGGCGTGGCTCTCTGTGGCATGGAACCAAACGTCTCCCTAGTATCATGATGAAATCATATATTCTTTGTCGTGCACACACTCTCTCTCTTCCAAAGCAATTGTACATACATTTCATTTTTTTTGAAAAGTCAAACATTTGAATGTCTAACTACAAACATAAAAATATTTTATAAATATATAATAAATATCATTGGATCGGCAGGATAATATATTTTTATAATAAATATATTAGGAGGTACGAATATCGACAATATTAATCTAGTCAGATTTAGAAAAATTAAATATATAGTTATATTTTTAACAAATATAATAGAAGGTATAAATATTGATAATACTTTTTTTCTATAAATCTACTCAAAACACATGCCTTTTTATAAAGAGAGAACGAGGCATGGACGAGGGCATGTACGAATGGAATGATACCACCACGTACAGTACACTGCTTCAATGCAGATTTTATTTTATTACTAAAACACATGAGTTCAGGTCAGTAGGTCACACTGATTACACCTTCTCCCGGCTAACCCTAAGCCGTCCCTGGGCTGCTTTTGAAACTTTTATTATAGTAGTAACCGAGCAGTTCGAATTCGTACCAACCAGAGTTACAGTTGACCTCACCAGTGCGTGCTGTTCGTTTTTGCTGAAAAGTCATGGCTGAAAGATTATTCACCGATTTGCTGCGATAGGGAAGCACTTAGGTTTCGTTTGCTTCGCTGAAAAAACAAGTCAAAACACTGTTCCGACTGATTTGTTGTGAGAGAAAAACACGGTTCCGATTAAAAAAAGAAGCTGAAAAGTACGAATTATAAGAGAAGCGAATAGGGCCTCAACCTTTTCGCTAGTTAGTTTCTGAGCTGATAAATCCGGTTAATGCTGGTTTGTTGCGCGAGAAAAACACTGTATCACGTCTGATGAGTATGACTGGAACCAACGAACGAAAAGGCGCTCGACGAGTCAAACAGGCCCACATGGCAGGCAGCAAAGGTAGCCGGACGGGCCGGCACCGGCAGGATGACACTACTACTCACTGCCCTGCATGCGTTTGCTCTCATTCCCTCCTTTACACAAAGTCACGGGAGGGTTTTCTTTTCTACCACCGCCATTGTTTTCATTTTCAAGCACCTCTCTTTCTCTCGAGTCGTCCCAGCCCAGTCACCATCGTCTCCTTCCTTGGTTCTCGCACGCTTCAGTCACCCCTCGGCCTTTTGGTTCCGGCTTACGCTACGCCCACCACCACTGAACGCCACTGGCTGCTTAGCTTACCTGGGTTCCTATTTTTGGGCAGGTTTTAGGTTCAGCTCCCGAAAGGGCTTCGCTCTGCTTCCCCTTCCCTTCCTCTCTTCTTCCCTGGATGAAACTGAAATCAGAGCATGTTGTTTTTTCAAACCACACGATGACACGACAGCAAAACACACAGAGATGAAGGATTGAACATGTGACACACGTTGGAGAGAAAGGGACAAGAAATAAAGGTAGTAGTACATACGGTATATAACACTAGTGGAGGAAGAAAGCTCTGTCCACAACATATACCTCTCTTGGTCCAAAAACAACCACATCTTTTACTTTTCGAGAAGTTTTTACAGTTAACAATATTTATAGAAAATATCATCAATATAAGTTCATTACTAAAATAAATTCCACAATTAATCTATTTATGATGCATCATAGATATAGATATTATATTTTTATATACTATGCGATTAAATTTTAAGATGCATGACTTTTGAGAAACAAGATGTATAATTATTTTACGATTGATGAAGTGTGTATATCCTGTGTAATTATATATATATATATATATATATATATATATAATATAAAACTAGTGGCACACACACGCACAACAGCAACTCGGTAGCGGCGATGGTAAATGGATGTGCCCATCAACGGCGACGCGAGGAAACCCGTGATATTGCGGCGCCGCCGGGAAAGGAATTATGCATATATACTCCTACAGGAGAAAGGAGGAGACGAATTTGACCCGGCGGGCCTTCTTTTTAATCTTCTTTTCTTTTCTTCTTGTTTTTGTTTCTCTTTCACGCATCATTGGGTGAATAAAAAGAAGGCAACAAAGCACGTCAGAAAATTACCGGTCCTCTTCTGACGAACTGCGGTGCAATGCAGGGGCAGGGACAGAGCCACAGAGGCTGCCGCCGAAGCCGACGAGAAGTCCAGCTCGGCGTGGCGCACGAAGCAGAAAGCATGGGCATGAAAATACGGGGCAAATACTTTGAGGAGGAGCCGAGCTGGACAGTTCAGTAGGCGCGCCACCACCGCCTTGTTTATACATACGCACAGGAGCACATGCGACCGAGCGGTCTGTGGTCACCACTCCCAGAGCCCAGAGCTGAGGCCTGTGAACGGAGAGAGGTCTCTCCTCTTCTCCTCGCCTCTTTGTGTTGTGCTTCTGTTCACTCCTCGGCTCCTCGCCATCGTTCAGCTCTTCCCCCAACTTTTCCTTCTCCCCCATAGGGGGCCTGTGCTCCTGCTGGCTTTGGTGGTGTTGCTGCTTTTCCTCTTTGTTAAAAGGCTGCTCCCTCCGTCGTCCCCTCCCCCCTTTCTCTCTTCTCATCGCACTGGCTTGGCTTGGCTGCTAAGGTCAAATAGCCATCCATCCATACCATACGCCTCTTTCTCTTTCTCTTTCTCTTTCCTCTTTAACCTCCCCTTTCTTGATTTCCCAAGCTGCTACGAGGCTTTGGTCTCAGGGTGCTGTGCTTCGCATGGCCATGGCCTCCGCGGCGGCGGCTCTTCCTCCTGCCAGCCACCAAACCGGGCAAAAGCGCCGCCAAATCTGCCTCTGACCTCCCCACCAAATACCCAACCAGCACCCACCCACCACCTTCTTCCTTCTTTCTCTCTTCTTACAACAAGAAGTAGCTCAACTGTTGTCAAAAAAAAAAAAAACAAGAAGTAGCTCAACTCACAGTCAGCTCAGGCTCATCTCAGCAAGCTAGCAGCACCAGCAGCGAAGCTTGAAGGCGAGCTGCAACTGCGCGAGCATAATGGAGAGCAGATGGCGGAAGGCCAAGATGTCGCTGGGGCTCAACCTCTGCGTCTACGTGCCCCGGACGCTGGAAGGCGACGACGCCAGCTCGCCCAACACTTCCTCCTCCACGGCGGCGCTCGTGTCGCCGGTCGCCTCCTCGTCGTCCGCCGCCACGAGCACCAACACCACCCCCACGGCTGCTTCGGCGGAGCAGAGCAGCGCCAACGGCAAGGTGAACGGTGGCGGCGCCGGCGCCGGTGCGCTCATGCCCACCACCCCGACCCCGACGTCCGCCGGGCTCCGCCTCTCCAAATCCGGCAGCAAATCCTTCAAGGTACCGTCCGTCCTCCCGTCTCCGTCTCCATCCATCGATCCGCTAAAGGTTGCAACTTATTGCCAAGATCCACCCATGTAATAAAACTCCAAAAGATCACTCTGCTTGCTCTGCTAATTTCTTTTGGTCCTTCAAATCTTCAATTGCAGTAGTAGCCTAGCAAGTCAGCTCCAAATAATGGAAAAAAATATTCACAGCAGCAGGAGCTGCAGCAGCAAGTGTTCATTCAGGCTGCAGCAGTTGTGCACCTGTGCTGTGATGTTCTTTTGCCCCAAATGATGCATGCAACAGTGCACCAGTAGCTTTCATCACACATCCGCACACGCAAAAGGGGGCAACACTAGTAGAAAAAGGGGATGCAGGAGGAGGTGGCAATGGAGGAATATCATCATGAAGAAAGTGGGGGGGAGTTTATCTTTCTTTAACCAGGGGGTCCTCCTCCCCTTCATCCTGCTCTCCTCTCACATTCCATAGTCCATAGGACTGAGGACATAGCCATAGTCCACCACCACCATACCCCTCTGGCCCTCTCCCATTCATCAGTCACTTTTTTTCCTCTTCCCTTTTCTCCTCCATAGCCTGCCCTCTAGCTTCACTTCTTTTTGTGGAGGCATAGCATCCTTTTCAGAACAGCTCCGGCACTGTTCTCAGATCCCTTGTGCGTTCTTCCTCCAAACTTGCATGTTGCAGCACAGGGACTCTACGGATTCCCGAGAGCCCACCACCGGCTCGCCTTGGGGCGCCCTGATGACAGAATTGCAAAAGAAAGTATTCCGACCATGGCCCAGTTGCAAACCTGCAATACTTATTAGTGACAATTGCATTACTGCCCTTGTTTTTTATTCTAACTGCACGTTTACCCCTGTTTGTTTAAGTTTGCATATTTACCCTCATTTTTTGAACCTGAAGTTGCCGTCTGCACTTGTTTCCCAACTCCGTGAATTGCTATTTAATAATGGGTCAAAAAAATTGTTTGGAAAAAAAAGGAAAGGGAAAAGACTATGATGCCCATCCCTTATCTAAAACACACGAGCCTCCTCTTTTCCCCTTGTCTCATCACGTGATGAGAGAAGTGCGGTTGCTAGGGTCGGTGGCGGGGCGCGCTCCAAGCTACGTGGCAGGCCGGCTGCGCAGGCGGCGTGGAGGACCGGCGACGCGCCTGGCAGTAGGCGCGGAGCTCATCCCGCTGCCGCGCCCACGCTGCTGGTCTCTGCTCACGGTGTCGCGCCATCCGCTCAGGTCCCTTGCTTACGCCACAGCGTACCTCCTTGGGTGCTCAGTGATTGGTGAAGCCTGAAGCCGTGATGGACTGAGCATCTGAACGGATAAGCCTGAGTGCGGCCTGAGTCTGAATGAGCGTTCTCCATTTTTTTTCTTTGTTTTTTAATTACTAATAAAGCTGTGGGGCGAAGGGCGGGGGCCTGATGCAAGCGGTAGAGTCTTATCGTCTGTTACCGGAAGGTTCCGGGTTCGAATCGCGGTCCGCTCGCATTGCACAGACGAGGGTAAGGCTTGACACTGACACCCTTCCCCAGACCCCGCACAGAGCGGGAGCTCTCTGCACTGGGTACACCCTTTTAATAATGCTGTGGGCCCTGTTCAAAAAAAAAACAAATAACGGATTGAGCCTGATGATGGAATAGTTGATGGAGATGACAGTGATGATATTCCTGTCTGTACAAAATATGTGATGTCATTTGTCCAAAATACATCCACAATAAGTTTGTACATAAAAAGTCATTGATTATTGGATCATCCATATCAAGGGCATTTGTGTCTTTTTAGCTTTCATTTAACACCGTTAAGTCTTCTTCACGGAATAGGGACAAGTGGAAGCTTCGTATTAAAAAAACAGGGGCAAACAAGCTGTTAGAGTTGAAAATAAGGGCAGAAATGCAATTGGCCCTTATTATTAATTGCAACGTCTGCAGCTACTTGTTTCTGACACGCTGCTAGGTTTCCAAACTGCTTGCCTCATCGCCCCTTTATTCTTCTTTTTCTTCTGGACTGAGGTGTATTAACTAGTCAGCAATAACTAATTCAGATTAAGGCATCTAATTCGATGGATAATATTAAGATTAGTTTGACCATGGGCTGCTTATGGCTACATGACTGCATGTAGAGGTAGTTTTTCTTCAAAAACCATGTTACTTCAATATAATTTCAGAACGGTTGCTTTCTGGCTGCAAGTCTGAAACTGCGGCATATGACCACCGTTTGGGATCAGCCATGACAGCACTTCAAATATAGAGTACTTCTTTAGGACCAAAGTATCAAACAATTTATCGACTTCCTCACTGTAAATTTATCTATGAAAGATGTGTGGTAGGTTTGATGTCTGTTTCTTCTTTACATGCTTTTACCATTCTTAGATTAGATGGCTATTTCTTATTCTTATACTTTTCACCGCTTCTTTTCCAGAAAACTTGTGCCATATGCTTGACTACAATGAAGCCTGGTCAGGGCCATGCTCTCTTCACAGCAGAGTGCTCACACACCTTCCACTTCCATTGTATTTCGGCAAATGTTAAGCATGGAAGCAGCAGCTGCCCAGTCTGCCATATCAAATGGAAGGAGCTCCCATTCCGAGGTCCCCTGCCTGCTGAATTACCCCAAGGAAATGTAAGGATCAATCCAGTTAATGGGTACCAAAATGGAGGCCATATGAACATATTGCGACCACTTCCCCGTGCGCGCTCTTCTGGCCGGCTTCATCATCTGGCCACATTGCTGCCTGACACAGACCCTAGTACTTTCAACGATGATGAACCCTTGGATTTGTTGTGTGAAGAGGCTAATGACACTCAGCAGGGCTGTTTGAGAACAGTAGAGATAAAAACATATCCAGAGTTCACTGAAGTACCTGAAAATACATCAGAAAGAAACTTCACTGTTCTAATTCACCTTAAGGCACCCCTTGCTCAGCATCTGCAGTCATCCAGCAATCTCGGAGATGGCAACGGACTAAGTACAACTCGTGCCCCTGTTGATCTCATCACAGTTCTTGATGTCAGTGGAAGTATGGCGGGTACCAAACTTGCATTGTTGAAGAGGGCTATGGGATTTGTCATTCAGAACCTTGGATCCTCTGATCGGCTTTCTGTCATCGCCTTCTCATCATCCGCACGTAGGCTCTTCCCGCTTCGTAGGATGACTGAGTCTGGTCGTCAGCAAAGCTTGCTGGCTGTTAATTCACTGACATCAAATGGAGGGACCAATATTGCAGAGGGCCTCAGGAAAGGCTCCAAGGTGATCGAAGAACGCCAGGCCAAGAATCCAGTCTGCAGCATCATCCTTTTATCAGACGGTCAAGATACCTATACAGTCTCACCAACTGCTGGTGTACACAAAGGAGCACCAGAGTATTGTGCGCTCTTGCCATCCACTAATGGTAACCAGCAGGTACCTGTTCATGTCTTTGGATTTGGTGCTGACCATGACTCCGTCTCCCTGCACTCCATCTCACAAACTTCTGGTGGGACCTTTTCATTCATTGAGACAGAGGCTGCTATTCAAGATGCATTTGCGCAGTGCATTGGTGGGCTTTTGAGTGTAGTTGCACAAGGTCTGCATGTTAAGGTGGAGAGCCTCCACCCTGACGTGCACTTTGGCTCCATCAAATCAGGCAGCTATTCTAGCAGAGTTTCAGATGATAAGAGGAATGGCTCCATAGATGTCGGGGACCTGTATGCTGAAGAGGAAAGGGATTTTCTTGTGTCTGTAAACGTTCCACCAGGCTATGGGGAAACAGCACTTCTCAAGGTTGGCTGCGTCTACAAAGATCCACTCATGAAGGAGACAGTGAATATGGCTGATGTGCAAGTGAAGATCTCCAGGCCAGCATTCGTCTCAGTACAAAGCGTGTCAATCGAGGTGGACCGCCAGAAGAACCGTCTTCATGCAGCCGAGGTGATGGCTGAAGCAAGGTTTTCTGCAGAGCGCGGTGACCTGACCAACGCTGTTTCTCTACTCGAAGACTGCCGGAGAATGATCATGGGATCGGCATCAGGACAGTCCGGTGACCGTCTGTGCCAAGCTTTGGATGCTGAGCTGAAGGAGATGCAAGATCGGATGGCCAATCGGCAAAGGTACGAGGCATCTGGTCGGGCATACGTCCTCTCAGGCTTGAGCTCCCACTCATGGCAGAGGGCAACCTCACGCGGGGACTCGACGGACAGCAAGAGCCTAATCCAGGCCTACCAGACTTCATCCATGGTGGACATGCTGCTGCGCTCGCAGACAATGAGCCGCTCATCGACCCCTCGACCAACTCCACAGATGAGGCACGCGAAATCATTCCCAGCACGCCCGCAGCCAAGGTAACTGCACTTTGGCATTGCCAAGAAGGATTCGCCTGAAGCCTAATTTGCTTGTTGATGATGGACGACGCAGTTAGCGTCCTCTAAATTCTTAGTTTTGTGGCGGGAGGACGGGACCAGGGTATAGTTTGTGTTGGTATAAGGGGATGTAACGGTGTAAATTTGATCTGGGGTGGTGGAGGTAAATGGTGAGAGGTAAGGTATTTTATAATTGGGGGTAGGGGATGGTATACGTCCTGGGAGAAATGGGCAGGAGGGTGGGTTATTTTTTTTTTTACCGTTGGTGGTGACTTGGTATACTCTAGTATTGTACTAGCGCCTTTGTGTGGTGATGTACATAAGGGAAGGGTATACATTTGTGGACTCTTTGAGGAGGGATGGATACCTAATCCTGATCCTGATCCTTGCAAGGTTTGTTTCTTCAACCTGGAAATGGAAAAGGTTTGTTGCCTCTTCCTGGAAATGGAATTAATGATCCTGCTGGCTATTTTTCCTTGTGCCTAGAAATCTGGTTACTTGATCAATGATCATGTTGTGTTCCATCTTGCAAGGAATTTTTTGGAGGCACTGCTACTTGATAGATTACTGCCTGCATCTTGGAAATGCTTCGCTTACAATGAACACTCCTTACAATTTTTTGTTGATCCTCGTTTGACAGTGAATGTCTGTCCAGAGCAACAACACGGTACATGGGAATAAAATACTACTACCTCCGTTCTAAATTACAATTTGATGTTTTACAATGGTCCTAACTCAAACAATCCTAACTCAAATAATTTGATGTTTTACAATGGTGCTAAATTCAGAGAGAGAGAGAGAGTCAACTAACCTCATCGGAAGATAAAAACGGTCCCTAAACTTAAATCAGCTCGGCGAGATCAAAGGACGCGGAATATGTAGAGATCCTGACGCCATGCCGAGAAATTGCAGTGATCATCTAACCTGATTGTAAGAGGCGGGGTCGTCGTGAGGCCCAGTCGGTTTCGCTATGACGCGGAATATGCAGAGATCCTGACGCCATGTCGGGGATTCACGCAAGCTGCGGAGGAGGGTAAGCCTGCGCTCGCCGCCGACGCCCCGCCCCGCCCCGGCCGGCAGCGGCGCACCGCGGAACGCGGCGATGGGGAACCGGCCGGAGTCCCAGAGGAAACGAGAAGGGAATGGCGAGTCAGCGGCTGCTTGGGCTGGGCCGGTTGCGTTTTTCCGTGACGGCGGGTAGCAGGCTAGAGCGTCCCGGCGAGAGAAGACATAGACATCTCGTGCGATGGGCTTCTCTTTCCTTCCTTTTTCCTATTTCGCAATGCGTTGCCCGTTACAGTTACAGGGCAGGTGAGGATGACCCACCCGGTATGGCCCGGGCCATGGCCCGTTTAGAATGAAAAAGGAGGCCCGGTTGGATCGGTGGACGGCGACGCTTGAAGTTGAACAAGCGGTTGGTGAATTGGCGTGTGGGCTGACGCGACGCGGACGCTTCAACTGCAACGGTCGGGTCAGGAGCTCGGGACTGACCTGTTCCTCCTACCGCCCGACTCCGAAAGCGATTCGTACGTGCGCTGGCGCATACATACGCAAGCCCTGACACCCGGATATTCTACGCTGACTTGTACGTATTTCCTTCCGGATACCACCGGTCCCTCCTCCTCCTCCTCGTGACCTAACAATTTGGTATCCACCGGGAGCTTCCAGTGACTCGTACGTTGATACTCTCCCGTGCTTTATCGCTGGCATTTCCATCATCACCGCTAAGTGCGGATGGGCTCGTAAGCTGGCTCTAAACATTTCTTTCATATTTTAATAAAAAAAAAGAAAAACTAGCTCTTAATTTAAGAGCTAGACTCATACACATATTTTAGAAACACGTGAGAGTGTTATGTGGGTCTAATCATACTATAAGCCATTGCTAAAAGCTAACATTATTAGAGAGAGGTTGGCTTAGAACTAGCAGCTGATTCGGGTGCCCTAATAAAACGAGCTGGATCCACGCCCTGTTCGTTTGGATTTGTTTGGCTTATAAGCCGTATTTTTTCAGCCAACGAACAATATTTTTCTCTCACACCAAATCAACCAACAGTCCTTTCAACCATGGCTTATCAGCCAAAAAGCCCAAACGAACATGACGCTAGTCTATCTCCCTCTGCTTCTTTAATTAATAAGCTTTATTAATCATGGCGTCTGCGTCGGTGCACAGCTGATGGTACCAAGAGAGAAGGCTGAACTGCTCAGTTCCAGGCCTTTTCGGGGAGTTTATTTGTGTTTATAATCATTCGAGGTCCAACCCCAGATCGGCAGCCAGATTTCATCTCTCAATCCCCGGTTTTGGGCGCATTTTTGGTGGCATCTGGGGTGTCTGTCACTGTCACCAAACAGACCTGTGGTGGTCACTGAGCTCAATGAGGGTGTACTCCGTGTACCAGCAGTCTAGCAGTGCCTGATGATGGTAGCCAGGCACGGGCCATGAGGAGAAGATGGTCGCCTGTCGGTTGTCATCTGGCACCGGCAGCCATGTTTGCTCCGGGCAAATGATGTTGCCTGTGCGGGTAATCAGATGCGCTAATGCCCATTCTGATATAAAAAAAGCCAGAAAAAAGAGAATGAAATTGGGGAGCTCACACCTCACATGGGGTTAGGCGAACGAACTAGTGCGAGCCTAGCAGCACACGTGGTGTGGTGTGGTGTAAGCATGGCACTGATTTCCTGGCAAGAAATTCCGAGTCCAAAAATCTGCTGCAGTTCTTACCGCCCAAGAAAATGAAAACAAAAGAAAAGAGAAAGATGCACTAGTCTTGCGATTGCGAGTTTGCTAAGCTCTAGAAGAAACGAGAGGGTTTGACGATTGACGCCGTCGTAAAAGGAGGGCCTCCCGTCCTTCCAGCCTGGCCCACCTACCAGCCACCCAGCCATACAGTAATCGCGTCACAATTGACCAGATTGAAGTAAACCTCCCCAATTGAATTTTCAAACAGAGTCATCGGTGACGGTACCTGTGCTTTCCCCTTCCCAGCTCCAGCTCGTTTTCCTATATATATAAAAAAGCTCCAGCTCGTTTTAAATAATACCACACAAAATTTTAATCAACGCGAAAATGTATACAAAAAAAGAGAAACATTTCCCGTCGTTAGCTAATCACCGTTGATTAATTATTCTGTTTCCCCGCTAACCGTCTGATTCAATCATTATTCGTTCGCGCACCACACCAAAGCGTGAAAAAGAAAAAGAAAACACGCACGCACAAAATATTCGTCACGCGCCTCCGCCGCCTCCCCTTTCCTGGGTGCTTTTACTTTTATGTCATTATAAAAGTCAATAATTATTTATAAGTTATTAAAAAAGTTAAGTTTTCATAGGTGTCATTGATTTAAACTCTTATGCCCTCCGCGCCACTTCCGTTAGATTTGGCTTAAACGGTGTCAAACTGCGGGTGTAAAAAAAAAAAAAATACCCTTACGTAATTAATTTTTTTAGCATCTTAACCATCTCAAATTCAAAAACTCAAAACTATAAAGTCGTAGATCTCGTCGAGATCTATAATATTTATATAAAAGTTATCTTCAATTAATTTCGTACAAAAAATATGATTTTTCTAAGACATATTAATTATATCAAATCATATTTTTTAGTATGGAATTAAATGAAGATAATTTTTATATAAAAATTGAAGATATTGTTGAGGTCTATAACTTTCCAGTTTTGAGTTTTTTCATTTGAGATTATTAAGATGCTCAAAAAAATTAATTGCATATCAGACCTAGGGGTATTTTGACTTTTCACATCCATGATTTGACACCGTTAGAGCTAAATCTTACGAAAGTGATGTGAAGAACAAAATAATTTATAGCAATGGTACATATAAGAACCTAATTTTTTTAATAGCTTACGTGTAATTATCAACTTTTATAATCGCACACCCGTAAAAGTCTCCTTTCCCTTCTCTGCTCGCCAACCCAGCGCACGGCACAACAACCCATTCGCACCGCACCGCAGCGCGTCGCGGCGAGCGGGCGACAGCTCAGGAAGACAGGGAGGGAGGGAGGAGGAAGAAAAGGGCAGGAAAGCCAAGGGAAGCGGGCGCGACCACCGCCACCCTCCCCCATTCCTCGCCCGCCTCCTGCCGAGTGGAATCCCCGTGGACTACCGTCCCCGCCCCCATCCCCCGCGCGTCGCCGCGGCGCGCCGGGCCGGGCCGATCTGCTCCGCCGCCCCGCCCGCCTCCTCAGGTGCGCTTCTGCCTGGCCTGACGCTTCTTCCGTCGCTGCCGTGTCTCCTCCCCCGGTTGGGCCGAGAATGGCCCGGGCGCCGGATCTCCTCCGTGGACGCGGCGGTGTCGGTGGCTGCTAGATCTGTTGCGCGTGGCACGGTCGCGGCCGCAAGGTTGTCGACGGCGCGCCCCGCGTAGATCTAGCTCCTCCACCCCTTTTTGGCTGCTGGAGCTGTTTCGAATTTTCTGCTGCCAGGCCGTCCGAATTGCTGGGTTTCAGCATGCTTTCGGAGCGCCCGGATTCGTGCTCTGAGCTTCGACCCGAGGCCGAAACGGGAGTGCAAGCGGGAATGCTTGCGATGGGATCTCGATCGCTGTTGGATCTTACGGGGTGAATGAATTGACTGCTGCAGGTGTCCTGCCGAGGAGGACATAGAGCTGGGCGTATAACGAGCTAGATTTCAAAAGGGGAGCCATGAAGAAAGTGTTCGATCAGACGGTCCGGGACTTGTACGTGAATTGCCTGCTGTATTCCTGTCGTTTACTGCGTGTGATTTCGAGCCGCGTTTGTTTGCTAGCTCTGGCGGCATGAATTGATATAGGAATTTGTTTTCACTGTCTTGCTTTTGCAGAAAAAGAGAGGTGAACAAGAAGGTCCTCAAGGTGCCTGGAATAGAACAAAAGGTGAGGGATCTGTGCGCTCTCCCGCCCTTTCATCCACAAGCATGTTCTTGGGGGGCTTTTGTTTGTTTTCTCTTATTATTACTTTCCCTTGCCAGTTGTTACAAAAAGGAATTGTTTTGACGTGGTATCTCCGTTCTTGCTCTAATTTATGTACAGATCCTTGATGCCACAAGCAACGAGCCATGGGGCCCACATGGATCTCTCCTGGCAGACATTGCTCAAGCAACGCATAACTAGTATGATATTTCTCCCCCTGTTTTCTGATTGGCTAGTTGTTGAACAGAAACCTGTTTTGCTGGTGCTAATGTGGTTTGCATGTCCGTTTGCAGTCATGAGTACCAGATGATCATGAACATTGTGTGGAAGAGGGTCAGTGACACTGGTAAAAATTGGCGTCACGTTTACAAGGTAAGAAATTGTCCTGGCACCACGAATATTCAAACATTGTTTATTTTTTTGGGAAATACTCCCTTAGTCCAGAAAAGAATGCAATTCTAGCATAGTGTCATGGTTCAGTAGCCTAAGTTCGATCAATTATAGATAAAAAAGTATCAATATTTATAATATCAAATAAACATCATTAGATTAATTACGAAATGTATTTTCATAATAAATTATTTTGGAGTTGTAAATGTGAATAGTATTCACTAGAAATTTGGTCAAATGTGAACCACTTTTGTTGGCACGCAACCCGTAGTTGCATTCTTTTCTGGACAGAGGGAGTATGTGATTACATTAATATTTTGAAGACCTAAAACTGATTTTTTTTCTCACCCGTGCTTTAGGGATTGATTGTCTTGGATTACCTGGTGGCGCATGGTACTGAACGAGTTATTGATGACATAAGAGAGCATGCTTATCAGATATCAGTAATGCTAACCGCCACTTTCCTGCATTATATTTTTAATACCATCTTGAAGTTTGGTTCTCGCATTGGGGATTCTTGTATCTTGCTTGTTTGGTGCGCTAACATTATGCTTGAAATTCCAGGCACTAGCTGACTTCCAGTACATTGATTCTTCTGGGAGAGATCAAGGTAGCAATGTACGAAGGAAATCCCAGAGCCTTGTCAGTTTAGTTAATGATAAAGAAAGGATACAGGAAGTTAGACAGAAAGCACTCGCTACCAGGGACAAGTAAGTATAGCTTTATGCCATGCTTGCTTCGTATTGATTAGTGCATACTGTCTTGCAGGCGCTTAAGTTCCTGTTGTTGAACTGATTACTTTTATCTGATCATCTTTAGGTACAGGAGTGCGTTTGCCCCTGGTGGCAGGAGCCCAGGTGGATATGGTGGTGGTTATGATAATGACCGCTATGAAGGCAGCTATGGCAGTAGATATGACAACAGAAATGGAAATGGGAGGGAGAGAGACTATGGATACAGGGACGATGACAGATATGGTGGACCTGGAGATACGCCCAATAGGGAAGGAGATCGTTATTCCAGAGATTCTAATGAACGCTATGGCAGAGATTATAGAGAAGATGAATACAAAGGAAGTCATAGCAACCATGAATATGCTGAAGGAGCAGGTCGCAGGAGCTATGGCAGGGAAAGGGATTCATATGGGGATGACGAAGCTTATTCATCCCGGTCTGTTTTCTGTTTCAACTTGAAATTATTACTTATTGTCCATAGTTGTTGTCAGCAACTAATGTACGGAATAGTTAGTTTCTTAAATTAGTAATATACCATCCTTCGGATTTTAGGGCTCTTAGTGGATCTTAACACCCTTCTTCCCTTGCAGTGGCCGTGGCAGCAATGCTGATGCCCCTACTCAGGATAATAGGTAAATAATGGAGAGTGGTCATGTACATTAACTTCTTAGCTTATTTGTTGGAGTAATCCTTCTAAGTCCTGTTACCTGCGATGACAGACCTATAGAGCGGAAGCTTTCTAACCAGCAAATAGCTTCACCACCACCGAACTATGAAGATGTTACAAGAGATGGCCAGGACAATCTTCATGATGACAGGTCAGTATTCTATTTTGGATGCTTAATTTCCTGGCTGAGCAATGGTCCCTTACTGAAACTCTCAAATCTCAGAAATGGAGGAAGTGTTCCTGCTGCTGTACCAAGGGTGTCCTCTCCTTCAGTTCCTGCAACAACTGTTCCTGCAGGACAGGTGAATGGGGTTCATGAGACTACTGTTGAAGATGTACCTGCACCACCAACTGCTCATGCTGAGCCTAATGGATTTGATGAGTTTGATCCACGTGGATCTGTACCAGGTATAGTTTGTTCTTTTTCAGCGATAAATACACCACTTGTGCAAATGGAAGTAATGAAAACATCAGTATGGAAGGGATATTTGGTGTTTTTTCATATACGAGATCAATGTACAGGGGAATGGTACCTAACCTGGCATGTTGCTAGTATCAACATCTTTGTTTGGTAAATATGTGCTGATACTATGTTTGGTGATCTATATCCCTTTTCAGATTCTTCCCCTCCTGTAAACCCTGCACCGGTAGCGAATAGCTTGGAGACGGATTTGTTTGGATCAGATCCTATTAGTTCGTTGGCTTTGGTGTCTGTGCCTCAACCAATGACCACATCAAATGTTGAAGCACCGGCAAATTCAGGTTTTGAGACAAATAGTTTCGTGGGCATGCCTCCTGCTTCCACTGGATTTGGCGAGGTATATGCATAACTTACTGTCATTCATATATTTGTTCTTGTTGGGTTTGTGATGCTATTTTACAATGCATGGGTTCTTAAACTGGCTTGCAACTGTTCTAAAACTTTGCAAGAGGTTTTCACAACTTTGTGGAGTTTGATGTATTAGATAAGCTAAATGCTATAAGGGAAATGCCTTGTTAACATAATATAGCTTTCTATTAAAACTACACTTAAATGAAGCACAAGGAGTAGTAACAGCAGAATTTCTGTCAGTAGGCATGTTTTAAATCAAACATCAAGTAACTTCGTTTGGTTATATTGTTTGTTAGTGTTTTCTTATAATCTATCTAGTCATAATAACTAATCTAATAATTCTTTTTATTGTCTTTTAATTTTGCAACAGATTGATGCCTCAAATCCTTTTGGGGATCCTACACCTTTCAAGGCAGTTCTTGATGAAAGTCCAGCACTACCTCAGACACATGCTGCACCAGCTGGTTCTTTCCAGTCCACTGGACCTGGTGCGGATGTGAACCCTTTCCAGCCTGCTTCAGCCGCAAGCCTTGGTTTTGGAGACACTCTTGGTGATCTCACTTTTGCGTCAAACGCTGCACCTGAGCAGCAAGATATGTTTGCAAACACAGCCTCCTTCCCTTCAGAGGTAGCACCAGCAAACCCGTCTGTGGTTCTCCAGCAGCCAGTTCCTACTAATTTCCCCTCTCAGGCACCTCAGCCAGTTGCTGGCCCATTGCATGCTGCTCCCACAGCATTTGCTCCTTCTCAGGCTGCTCCCACATTATTTGCTCCTTCTCAGTCTGCTCCCACATCATTTGCTCCTTCTCAGGCACCTCAGGCTGCCCCTGCGTTTGCTTATTCACAAGCACCTCATCCTGGTGCTGCCAACCTGTCTCAGTTTACCCAGACTGCCGCGCCATCATTTCCTCCTTCGCAGGTGCCTCAATCTGTAGCACCCAATCTGCCATCAGGCCAATCAGACTTCTTTATGCAACCAGCTTCAGGGTCTGGTATTGACAGCCTGTCTGGGGTTCCTACACCGAATGGAGCACCGTCCTACATTCCTCCACAGACTTCTCAGTTCGCTGCTCCGGCAAATCAACAACCATCTCAGCCAAACTTCCTCTCACAAACTAGCACACCAGCTCTCCAGCCCACCTTGATCTCTCGGGGGGCATCCCAGCCCGTTAGTGTGCCAAATTCAGTGCCTACTGGTGGCAGCTTCTCGTTGCAGTCAAGTTCATCAGCTCCCCCAGAAACAATCATTTCTGCTTTGCAAGTTAATCAGACTGAGCCAGTGAAGAAGTTTGAGCCCAAATCTAAACTGTGGTCTGATACTTTGAGCCGAGGTCTAGTCAATCTGGACATTTCTGGACGTAAGTGGCCTGTCATGGTTTCTTTTTTTTTCCCGCAATGCCAACAGCTTACCTTTGTGTTGGCTGACCTCATTGTGTTTGTTTTTTACAGCAAAAGCGAATCCTCATGCTGATATTGGAGTTGACTTTGATTCAATTAATCGCAAGGAGAAAAGGCAGGAAAAGAAAATCAACCAAGCATCTGTTGTGTCTACAGTCACCATGGGCAAAGCCATGGGAGCTGGTTCCGGCATTGGTCGGGCTGGTGCAGGTGCAGGTGCAATGGCACCTCCTCCCAACCCAATGGGTGCTGGCAGGGGCATGGGTATGGGTCCTGGTGCCGGTGCTGGTTATGGTGGTGGAATGGGAATGAACCGGCCAATGGGCATGGGAATGGGAATGGGAATGGGAATGAATCAACAACAGATGAGGATGGGGATGAACCAACAGCCGATGGGAATGGGGATGGGGATGAACCAACAACCGATGGGAATGGGGATGGGGATGAACCAACAACAGATGGGAGGAATGAACATGGGGATGGGGATGAACCAGGCGATGTCGATGCGTCCTCCTATGGGGATGGCTCCTGGAGGAATACCCGGTGCTGGCTACAATCAGATGGGCGCAGCATACGGTGGTCAGCAGCCATATGGAGGATACAGGTGAGGGGCTATACAGTCTCCCACACCACAGATTACGGGGCGAGGTGTTGAGAAACAGTTTAGGAGGCATGTGTATTTTGCTCACCTGGTTTTGCTCTGTGTATGATTTCTTGTTTCTTTTGGGGGCGGGTGAGAAGGGTATAATTTTCGTCACTATTCTTTTACAATCCATGTTGGATACTGTACCTACTAAATAGCAAATAGCAAACATGTGAACAAGGGCGGTGCTACAACTGTTGTGTTGGATGCAAAGCCTTGATATATCAGAGCTCCCATGTAGTTGTATACTTTGCTATAGGCTGCTTCCTTTTAGTAAACATATTATTTGTTTCAGCATTCTTGCTGGATGGATAATAAATGGCTGTACCATTTGGTTGAATTCTCACGTTTTTGCATTGACGTTAGTTTGCATGTGAAATTTGACATGCTTTGTTCACATCATTATTCTTGTATATTGATCACTATGAAGGAACTAACTACAATGGCTTGGAGCTAGCTGGACGGACAGTCATCACTCTGAAGAAACAACCACCAGTCAAAAGTAATCAATTTGGCTGCTGAAGATTGGGATGAACAGCTTACATTTTTGGAAGAGGACAAGCTAGAATGAATACACAAGGAAACTAGACATGTATGAACTGCATGTTTGATTATCTATACTAGTCTCTTCGCGAAACCAATCTTGGAGGCACATCAATGCTTCCATAATCTTTTACTGGGAGAAGGCTACAATGTTCATTTAGGGATTGTTTGGAACGAAGGAATGCAAAACAGAGAAAAGAAAAAAATGCAGGAATATGATGGGTATATAGTAGTAAAACCAAGGAAAGAAAAAACACAGGAAATAGCTAGAAAGAGGTGTTTGTAACACATGAATTCATAACATGGGAAATACAAGACATGGTTATATGAAGATTAATAAAGAGTCATTATTAATGCTTAATGATAAATTTGTAAGTTGCACATTTTGTCTATGACTCTCTTACAAGGGGGATCATTGGCCCATAAAATGGGCCTATTCACCATTGCACGCATACATTCGGAGTATGGATGTGTTTGTTTACCTAACTTTGTTCTAGCCTGACTAGAAAGGGACTTGCTAAAATTCAGGTGCCTGAATTTTAGAATCTTTTCAGGCATTGGTTATTGCATATCTTTTATATTAAAATTATAGCTTTTGTTCATTGCAATTTCTATATGCATAATCTGCAATTTTCGAATATGAGAATAAAAAATCCGTTAGACAAAACCACAAGCTCGACAAAATTTTATCGGTGTCGGCACAAATGCAATTAACAATTTACAATGACAAAAATTTATTAATGTTAGCATAAAGACAATTGACAGATATTTCTATAGTTAGACAATGACAAAGATTTGATATTTTACGACACAACAACAATTAAACAAATCACAGCGTCTGTCTGAAAGACAACGAGTATGTGGTACAGCTACGGTACTCCACGGCACTATGAGCTGGCGTCACGTCACGACCAGCGACATGCCACAAACGCTGATAGCAGGAAGTCACGTACGACTTTTGGCACCAGGGAACGCACTGTTGATGGCCTGAAACATCGCCTGAACGGATAAAAAGAACAGGCGAACGATAAATAGGAATCGTGGGCTAGGGAGTAAGCCGGGCTAGCTTAAGATTATCTTCAGCAAGTTAAGATGGACTCGTTTGAGTGCCTATACTATCTAAGCCTGGCTAGCAACTAGTGTGTTTGATTGGCTGGTTTGCTTGGATGGAATCACCTTTTTTTGTGCAGGTAACTTCACCACCTTTGAGACAATTCGTTGAACACGTGGTAAGCGTTACTTCTCAGCAGGGGAAATGGCCGGCGCGCCCGATTCCGGCCGGTGGGGCATGCGGCCGGTGGCAAGGATGGACGGTGCGCACAAGAGGAAGGGACTCGTGGCACCTGGCGGCAGTCGAAGGCACCCTCCGCCGTCCAGCGGCTGCAGCCGAGTCAAAATCTGCCTCAGCCTCAGTCCGTGTTGGAGGAGGGACAGGCACCCGAGCGGGACTACCGTGGCCGGCATAGGAGAAGTGGGCGTGGGCGACATGTGGAAGTGCTCTTGCTCGATCGGCGGCGACAGAGACATGGATCAATGGATCAGTCACCTTATCAGGCAAGAATGTCCTCGAGAGACTTGGCATTTGGCACGGTAAACTCCTTGTCATTAGGCACGGTGAACTCTGTGGCACTCTGCTGCTGCTGCTGCTTGTCGGCCTTGGTCTGCTTCTTGAGCCTGGTGTCACATGGTCAAAACCGCGGCAAGCATGTTGTTCAAGTCAATGTCAGAGTACGGGTCTTGCAGCGGTGCGCCGTGGACCGTCGCGGTGTCTTGGAGCCGAAGAAGCCTTGGACGTCGTCTGGCTGCTCTGTTCTGACACTCTGCGTGTAAGGCAGTGTCAGCTTGGACCAGTCTCCCCCGGGTGAGACCTTCTGGAGTCTTCTTGGTGGCGCAGGAGGTCGGCTCTAGGGGCTGACGCGCGGGCCCGGAAGCCCACAAGCCCCCAGGAGGTCGTGGGAAGCTTTGTCTTCTTATGTCACGCCCCGGACATGACACTGTCGAAGGAGCAGTTAGCAGGGCCGTGCCTCGGGAGCGATGTCGAGGAGCCCCCGAGCATCGGTAGCTCGGGGCCTGTCTTCTTGTGCCTAGGCCTTGGCTGGCGTCGTGAGCCGGGTAGGAGCAAAGGATCGAGCTTGGTCGTGCCGTAGATCGGGAGCCCAAGGCTCGAGGAAGCCCCCGAGCCCCAGGCGGAAGCTACGATCGAGTCAGGCCCGTCGGATCTCTTTGCTAGAGGGTACACGCGAGCATTTCCATCTACAAAACTTATACTTCAATTTTTATTTAAGTACTAAATACAAGTTATGTTTTATTCTAGTTTATAGAAATCGCTTTTCATGCCAAACAATTAAAACTACTTTTCTTATTTTCTTGTTAGGATTTTCATTATCGCATTTGATTCAACTAACTCACTATACTTATAGATCTATTTCTCAGGCCATAATCTCAGTGCTTAGCGAACTCGTAACACCAGAGGTGTTACAACCAACCCCCTAAAAAGAATCTCGTCCCGAGATTCGGAGCAAGAATCAGTAGAGGGGAAAACGCGATTATATTTCGTAGATCAGAGGTTACACGAAAGATTACACGACTTTGAACACTAAACAACACAGGGATTTAGAGATACATGGTTAAGAGCAACCCAGTACAACCAAGGCTTAATCTAGAAGTCGAGATAGACGAGGGCAATGGAGAAACAACAAGATAATGATTATCCAAAACATGACGTATGACCAACAGATCCAGAAATAGGAGACTGAGAAGTCAAACATCGTGAACCCTAAGACCGAACAAACCAACTATAGACTTGAAATTCTTCGAAAACCAGATCCTTCTTCTTCTCAGATTACACCATCACCTCTGACTGACGAACCTAGTTCCACAATGATGATTGGATCTTGTAGCTCTGCTCTGAATGCGAGGGGAATGGGGATGAAGAAGAAGAGCAAGGATCAAGGGCATCTTATAGTGGAGCGCAACACACCGGAAGTGGAGACGGCGTGGATGGGGTACACTGATGGTTCACGCTATGGGGATAAAGTCAGCCATGGTGCGCTTCCTACGTGAGCGAGCGGAGGGAGGATAAGAATGGAAAGGGGGTTCGCTCGATGAGGAAGGCGTGCGGGCGGTCGTGTCCCCAAAAAGAAGAAAAGGAGGGGGTCCGGTATGGGGACGAGAGCGTGGGTCGAGAGCCGACCGGATGCCAGGAAAAGAGATACGCACAGTGCACGAGGACGACAAGTGCGACACAATGTCGCAGCTACGTGAGAACAGGGTGCTAATGGTCCCGACACAAACGGCGTCCGTAGGGCATGCAGCGAAATAACCTGGCATACGTAGTGCGATCAAGCTAGACACAAGGCTTGGGACATGACATCCACTCAGGCTTTTACAATCCCTCCCGACTACCCACGGTTAACTTTCCTTACTACTCTTCTTTTGCTTTCCCTTCCTTGACCACATCCGTCTTTCATGTAAACTAAGACCATGTCATACGTTCTTCCTCCAAAACTACCTCCTCTTGTTTAATAGAGAGAACACTATTGCATCAACCCGTTGTGGATTTCCCGTTCGAACACCCGAATGTTTCCAAGGAGAATATTTGTAGCAAAAGCAGTATGGCGGTGTAACTTGGTAAAGGTACTTGGTTAACAACCTCGATACCAGCGCGTGTCGAGCAGCGTCACCATGTGGCAGCTGTTCCACAGGGGCCCTCGGTTTCGTCATGGCACCATAAGCTATTAACTAGACAACTACTACCAACTTACACGCAATGAAGGCGATGGGGTCATAGACCACATAATCAGAGGAGTATTGCAAGGGAAGATTCAAACAACAAGGGTTCCTTTCGCAACAAGGGACAAGGAATTCAAATCCAACGACAGATTTGATTTAAAGAGGTTCAAGTGTTCTGCTGGGACATCCACAATTAGTTAATATAGTGTCCTATGTTATTCAATCACGGCTGGTCTGTTGGCATCCGAATGGTAACTTTTCTTGTAACCCACTAAAAGGTCCTAATATGGCTAGAGGGGGGGTGAATAGCATATTTAAAAATATACAAATCAACTAGAACAATTTGATTAGTATGACAAATAGCGTAATGCAAACTTGCTCTAGCTCTACAAGGGTTGCAAGCCACCTATCCAATAATTCTAGTTGCAATGATTACTTAGGCACACAAACTTGCTATGTAACTACTCACTAAGAGCTCTCAATCTTGCTACTCTAAAGAGCTCAACTAGATGAATGTAAATAATAAAGCAAGCTCTCAATTCTAATTACACTAAAGAGCTTGTATCAACTAGTTTGTAAGAATGTAAATAAGTGAGTAGGGTGATTATACCACCGTGTAGGGGATGAACCAATCACAAGATGAATATATAGCCAATCACCGGGAGAATGACAAAGACAAGAGACAATCGA